GGCGACGCCACAGGATCCGCTGGTACTCGCGATCTTCCGGGTGAACAAGGATCTGGCGATACATTTTTTCAATATCACAGATCAAGACGAATCGGTGCCGGCGCCAGCGCAGCAGCACGTCCGCCAAATTCGGCAGGAGGTTTGGTCCGGCCAGCAAGTGGTCATTTAACGAGTCACCGGACCCCGTGCGTTGGGATCCGTTGAACACTACTCGGAGCTTCGTAGTGGAGCTGGATTCTCGGAATACACCGTGATGCGGTAAGTAGCACGTATTTGGTTCGTTGTTTTCTGAGGGGTTGACCGGTTCCATATGTTGCAGGTCTTCGTATTCCTGTATGAAACTGCGATAGAGCTCCTCGAATCGGGAGTCACGGGCGCCCTTGCGCTCCATTGCGTTCAGCAGTCGCTCCGCAGGTTTGCGAGTCTCGGCAAGCGACGGTGGAGTTTTGACGAAAGGCAACCTGACGACGTATCGGCCTGTAGCCGTGCGCGTGTGGGTGCGCACGAACAGGTCTTCACAACGCTCCTCGTCAGGAGTGAGAGCGGCGGGAGAGGAAGGTTCCTTTTCCTGTTCCCAAAAGCGGCGCACCAGGTCGACCAAGTCGTGGTCGATCGTGCAGAGTAGAGAGCAGCGAGAATCCTCGGGAGACGACGCGTCGCGTCCACCCGATAAAATCCAACCCAGGCTTGTTTTTTGCGCGATAGGAGCTGACGGTCCGTTCTTGCGCAGGCCATCCTCGAAGATGATCGCGCACACCTCGGCTCCCAGGAGAAGTTCGACTGGATCGTTTGCGAGAAATTGGGGGTCCGCGAGCTGCAGTCCCGCGAAGTGCGACCACTGGAACGTCCTCTTCGTGCTTGGTCCTCGATATAGAGAGAGGCGGGGCAGAATGAATGCCTCGACGTTAAGTCGGGCTCCTGTCGCGGCGGAAGTGAGGTCAAGTTTGACCTTCCCCTTGGTGGCGCCGGGTTTTGAGCCTCCGACGCCGAGTATCGACAAGGAAGAGCGTACTCGCGAAATGAGCAAGCGTTGCACCAGGGCTTCCGAAATTATGGAGACTTCGGAGCCTTGATCGATAAGTGCTCGCGCGGGGCGTGGATCGCCATAGCGGTCGGCGACGATTACTCGCGCGGTCGCGAGAAGAGTCGCCTTGCCAGAGTCCGCGTGTTGCACAGCGGAGAGCACACTGGCCTCCGGGGGTTTCGTTTGCGTATAGGCTTCGTGGAGCGTGGAGTGATGTCGCGCTTTGCACGTCAAGCAGGTTTGAGTTGACTGACATTTCGCGATCAGGTGGTTTCCGAGACAGTTATAACACAGCCGGTTGGTGTCGACGAAGGACTTTCGCTCGTTCGCGGATTTGGCCTTGAACTCGGGGCAAAGCATCAGGGCGTGTTTCCCTTTGCACATCGCGCATTGAGCGTTGTCCTGTTTCGCGAAGTGTGATTTCGCGGATTGAGTCGAATCTCCCGAAACCTGGTTCGATTTCGGTTTCGCGGCTTTCAGCGTGAGAATTCTCTTGGAGATGAAGTCAGTGAGAGTCTCGTGCTCTGGTGGCTCAAGGGAATTGCTGTTGTACGACTCCCATTCGAGGCGCGTTCGCGGGTCAAACATCTCGACAACGAGGAAGTTGAACAAGTCCATCCCGTGGGAGAGGATGGGTCGACCGATACTCTCTTGCGCGTTCACGGCAGTCGTTACGGCGTGATGGATACGACTCAGTTCATCGGCGGTATCTCCCTTCATTTTTGCCACGGCGGTAAACGCGGCGAAATTGGAGCGTATCAATTCTTTTTTATTTTTGTAGTGTTTGCTCAAGATAGCCCACGCGCGGTCGTAGTTTTCACCGGTCACGAATAACGGGCGAATTAATGTTTCAGCAGGACCTTGCAGGCACGATCGCAGGTAGTGGAAGCGCTCGACGTTGGAAATGGCCGCGTCTCCGATCACTGAGAGGAAGAGATCGCGAAACGGCGGCCAGTCTTCGTACGCGCCCAAAAATTTTTTGAGTTGGAGACGCGGAAGTGATGTCTTCGGCGCGCGATCACTCTGGTCGCTCGACTGCGGGAGCTTACTTGGCGCGAGGCGGAAGGAGTTAGCGTATTCCGCGAATACGCTTCTTTGCTGCACGTAAGTGTTTTCCGTAATATCGAAAAGGTCAGATTTCACGTACTCACTGTCGTTGTACTTGTCTTTATACGCGTTTCGCAGCTGCTCGTGCTGTGCCTCGAACTTCTCCCAAAGTTGGTCAAGGATGTGGATGCGGGTCTCTACTGCGCTGAGGTTTATGTTTGCCATGCCCATCTTTTTCATGTTCTCCACCGAGCGGGAGATGCGGCCTTGAATGTCGTGTTGGCCCGCCAACAGAGCGCTCAGATCCTCGCTCATGGTTGCGTTGGTTTTTAGGTGCACTCCCGAACGCGGTTGCCAGCTGATGA